CTAAGTGTTCTAATTAGCAAATCTGATCCTTAACCTCCCACTGATCTCAGCCTTATCCGATTAAACTGATGACCAACCCAAGAATGTTTAATCTAAAGTGAGGGAATTTGTAGTTAGTCAGTTTCCTAAGACCATGGCTTCTATCCATTTTCTTCGAACCTATATATTTTCATGAGAGGTAAAAAGGAAAAAAACCCCAAAACAACGGATTTTCTAAAAACGTGTTTGTGTTTGAACTCCCAGTTTTGCAACTGTGCATATATGGTTTTATTTAACTCAAAAATTTACTGACAATGACATCACTGGTCCTAAAATGGAAGCAATTGCTCCTGTGTTCCAAGTACAACTGGGCTGTATTTCACCTCACAGGTGCTTCTGTTTGTTCACAGGATTGATTTTGTTGCTTCCTTCTAAGAGTTTGAATTTGTTCTGGGAAATCCTCATGCCAGTGATCTTAAGAGATATATTCCAACCTAAATGGTGAACTTTATGAAAATGAGGGTTTTTTTGTTTTTTGTTTTTTTTTTGGTTTTTTTTTACTTTAAGGAAACAACCTCAAGATGTACCAGGAGAGGTTTAGGTTGGATATTAGGGAAAAATTTCTTTACTGGAAGGATTGTCCAGCTCCGGCTGGTCCTGCCCAGGGCAGCGGTGCAGTCGTCGTCTCTGGAGGGATTTAAAAGCTGTGTGGATTTGGAACTTGGGCAGATGGGTCAGTGGTGGCCTTGGCAGTACTGGGGAGAACTTGATAATATTTTACAACCTTAACCATTCTGTGATTCTCTTCTATGATTCTGCTATGCCCTGGAATGTGGGAGCAAGTCAACCTCCAGGTAACCAACTTAACCTTCACAGCCCTTTGCAAGTAAACCACCTTTGGAGACCCAAAATGATCTTTCTGACCCACATCCATGAAATATTAAGGCCTCCAAGTCCTGTTTAAACAGTTTCTGTTTCAATATATATGAAACTGATTGCCATGGTCTATCTGTGCCTGTGAGAACATGGGGAGTGAGGGCCCTAAGTCACTGAGGTGTACTTGCTTTGTGAGCTATATTGTTTCATCATCTCATCCCAAAACTGGAAAAGCTCAACTGCTGGTAGCAAAATAGGTCTTACCTGAAGGCAGTTTTCCATGGCAAGACAAAGAGAAACTTCAGAAAGGTGTTAATTTGTGCCTAACAATTCACCTATCATGGAGTCCTTGCACTCTGAGGGAGAGGGAAACAATCAAGAAATAATCAAGCAATAATCTTTTCAATGCACAGCCCTGCTTCCTTGTGGGTAGCATCTTTCTCAGCGAGTGATTTATGCCCAGCTATGGCCAAATTCTGTGTCAATTCCTTCAAACTTAGTGTCAAGATTCAAAAGATTAGATAATTATCAGCATTCTTCATACTGTTTATATTTCATGTGCAGCACAGTAAAACCAAATAGAACCTGCAGAAGTCCTGGAGGATCAGATAAAGGACATTGCATTTTTACATTTCCCTACATTTGAGCACTTGACATGAAACTGAGAGTCTTGGGGAGAACTATGCACATCAGACATCATCAGTGAGAGTGGCTCAGGAACTGGCTGTCAGGCAGTTCATTTGAGTTAGACTTTTGGATAACATGTGAATCCAAGCAGATGTTTCCCAGTAGTTAGTTATTTTTTTTTAACTTTTCTTTTTTATTTATGTTTTTGTTTATTTGTTTTTATTATTTTTCCCCCCTGTGAACTATCTTTTAGTAGTATTTACTTATTTTTTGTATATGTGTATTTCCTGTAAGAATTGTAAACACAGTGACATCTCTTTGCTGGCACTGGGAGGGAGGTAATTTAGGAAAATACCCCAAAATTTCTGCCCAGTGTGTTTCTTATGAATCTGGTGTCACCTGTGTATTGGAAACAACAGTGAAAAAAGGGTGGTGGAAAAAGAAGGGTGAGGTGAATAGTATTTATTTGATATAAAGAAAAAAAAAACCTTAACCAAAAACCCCAGTTCCTGTCATAAGATGAATTAGTTCTGTTAGCAGAGACAGTGTTTTGAACGATAATGGGGAAAAGCATAATATGCATGTTCTGAGTGACTTACACATCAAATTTCCAAATAGCTGTTATTTTCTGAGGGGTGATGGGAAGAATAAATTTGCTGGATAGTGTAAAATGTAGAAATAATTCTGAATGATGTGCAAAACCTTTCTAAATAGCTGGGACATGGCCTTCATCTTTTGTTGTTTTTCAGTTCTGTGTGTATGATCTCTTTATGATACTGCCAAAATGTCCCTGTTGCTCAGCAACAGAAGGCTGGAATAGCACCAGTCAGAGGAAATCTGCTGATTTACACTGGACATATTTTGGACATAAATTGTGTTCTCTTGCTCGAGTGCATATTTTGACATAAGGGTGAAAGCAGCCTTTGTAGATTTGCCTCTCTGGGGCACTCATGGTCCTGGGTGGGGAGATCTCAGTTCAGACATTAAAATACCCTTTTGCACTACAGTTTGATAAATCACAGAACCAGAGAATGGCTCGGGTTGTGTTGGGCATCTAAAGGTCATCAGTCCCTCCCTGCAACAAGCAGGGATGTCTTCCACTACACCAAGTGGCTCAGAGACCTGTCCAACTGGACCTTGACTTTTTCCAGGGATGGGGCATCCACCATATCTCTGGGCAACCTGTGCCAGTGCTTCATCAGCCTACCCATGAAAAATTCCTTTCTATCTGATCAGAATTTATCCTCTTATAGTTTAAAACAGTCAACCCTTTTCCCATCGCAATGGGCCTTGATAAAAAGTTTGTCCACATTTTCCTTAAAGACATCTTTAAGTACTGAGTGGCCACAAATAGATCTCCCCAGAGCCTTCTCTTCTCCAGGTGAACACCTCCAGCTCTCCCAGCCTGGCTCCAAAGCAGGGGAACTCCAAACCCCAGGGCATCTCCAAGGCCCTCTGTGCCTGCTCCAGGTATATTTTAGACAGAGCATCACCTCATCTAACCTCAGTCTGGGGGCCTGGCCAGCATCTTCCCTAGCAATGAATCACTGCCTGGTCCTGAGGAGGTTTTTGTAGCTCTGACCACAGCTCTGCTGTGCCTTGGCCTGACTGTGCCTCCTGTATGGAACCAGACTTTGCACTCGCAGGTTTAAGAAGGTTTGATGCTGCAATGTGCCAAAGGACTGAGAGAGCTGGGGCTGTTCATCCTGGTGAAGGCTGTGAGGAGACCTGAGAGCTCCTTCAAGTGCCTAAATGGGCTCCAAGAGAGCTGGAGGAGGATTTTGGCTAAATCTTGGGTGGGCAGAACACAGGCAATGGCTTGCCAGTGCTGGAAGGTGTCCCTGCCCATGGCATGAGGGGTGGAAAAAGAACCCTTTAACCCAAACAATTCTGTGATTCTATCATTCTGTGATAAGCACAAAGAGCAGAATTTGGAAGTTTCCTCTATATCCCACACACACTGATTTAAAAATTTTATTTTCCAATGTCTTCTGCACTAGTTGTTTGAGGTAGCCTATTTTTGGAAGAATTTAATGATAATAAAGAGAGAGAAACTTATACCAAACTCAAAAAAAAAATGAACGCTTGTTTTAGAAATTAACTCCACAGAATATTATGTAGATATTTATTAAGTAAATCATGGAAATGCTACATTTTATAAGTCAGTGTCAGTCATACAGAAATACTGTTGAACATCTGAAATCCTAAAACTTCACCAGAAGATACAACCAACATTTCATCACAAATATTTTACACTCAGGTCTTTGTGATGTTTGCAAAAACACATGGTTTGGGATTTTTTTTTTCCCCCTTCCCAAACTCAAAAGTCATGGTAGATTTTATTTCATCTGCTACAAGAAAAACAGGGTTCATTTTTCTTTTTGTGGTGTGACATTAATGCATGTAGGTTCCTGTGGGCTGAGGGACCTGAGTACGTGGAATATTTTTGGTGAAGATGTGAGCTTCCACATGAGACAGAGAGTGAGCCAGGCAGAAAGGTGGCTGAGTTAATGCCTGTTGAGGTGATCTGTGCTGTGGGGTGCAAGGACAGCTTCCCTCTTCCCTACCTGTACCCCTGGGGAGCCTGGGCAGAAGTGACACATGGCTGGTGTCCTGCAGAGCTCTGCTGGTCCCCAAAAGTCCCTTTCCCACTGCAGGGCAGAGAGAAAAGGCAGAGCAGCAGCTTCACAGAATCACACAATTGCTGCCAAGGCCACCACTAACCCATGTCCCCACATGCCACATCCACAAGGTCTTTAGAACCCTCCAGGGATGGGGACACACCCACTGCCCCAAACAGCCTGTTTCTATGAAGATATTATCCCAAACATCCAATTTAAACCTCCCCTGGCACAACTTGAGGCCGTTCCCTCTCCTCTTGTCCTTGCTCCCTGGGAGCCAGAAGGTCTCCCCTGAGCCTCCTGAGCCCCAGAATTTTGTTGTTTGAAATTCATGTGCTGAGGAGGACAGTGTAGGGAGAGAAGTTAAGAATAGATCAGCTCAAATTAGTTCTATTTGTGCATTGACTGAACAGAGACATTTTATTGCATAGGAAAGGGACAGCAATGACTTTCTTGATGTCCCCTCCTTTGCTAACCCATCACCAAGTTCAAGTATTAAGAGAAATCATGAGATTAACACAGAAATCACAAAAATCATGTCCATCTTATGTTTGTTGATTGCTAATGAACATCTCTCTCCGTGGGGTTTGGGAGGTCCTCCAGGTAGAATTCTTCACAACCTATTTTCTACTTGGCAAAGAGTGCTCTTCATTCCATTTCTCTGCCACAATGAAACTCTCTAAGATGCCTCCTATTGCTGTCATAAGCTGTTTAGCCATTAACTTGAAGCCCCCTCATATGCTGAAAGATGCTCTTTATTTCTTTTTGTCTGATTTCAGTGTCTTCAATTTCACAGAGCGATTTTTCTTTTCAGCTTATAAGTAATTTTCCCATTGCTTATAATTCAAGTGTCTTTTCAGACATGTGTGCTTTAAAATCATAACAGGTTAATCCAGCACAGTCCTACCTAGTAGAAATCTTCTTAATAGAACAAACAGATTCTAGTGGATTTTCCCTGGTGGGAAAAGTCTCTCCACACAGAAGTTGGTGTTGGACATGGTAGCACACAAATCACAGTCTGTTGGGCAAACACCTTGTGCTCCTGCCTTAAAATCTGACGAGTTTCCCTCTTCTTGGGTCTCTATGCCTCACAGCAAGACCTCTCATGTTTCTTCATCATCAGATAATAAGCTCGGTTGGCTTCTGGGTAGGTGACTTTGGAGAGGGGCAGCTTGCAGATGGCAGAGTTGTTTGTGGTCATGAGCAGGAAGGTCAGCGCAGAGAAGCAGAAAGGCCAGGTTCCTGATGGCACCCCAAACTGCAAATTAAAAAACAGTTTTCCTTTGTTTACTATGTGTCCTTTATTAGAGTACCACTCAGAGCCAGCCACCTCAGAACAAGGTTTCTGAAGAAAGTCTAGACTTGGTTTTGCATCGAGTCTTTCCTTAGGGAGGCTGGGTTTCTTTATAAGGTCTTGACATTTTGAATTAGCCTGCAGCATTTACCAGCTCTGGTGAGCTGGTGTGCACCTGCCATGGTGAAGGTTTCTTGGGTGGACATGAGGTAGGACATGAGGTATCCACAGCACAGTGGATACCAGAAACATTCGTCTTTCCCTTGGGCTGTTGTACTTGGCAATGGAGAAAAGCAGTTAGCCCAAATTTAATGTTTCTTTACACATATGCAGGGCTCTTTTTCCAATTGCATCAGGCATGAAGTAAATGTCTGAAAGAGGGGAGGTGTTCTTGTAGCCTGCCAGTGCCTAAAGCTGGTCCAGGAGAGCTGGAGAGGGACTTTGGGCAAGGGCCTAGAAAGGATAAAGGGAATGGCTTTCCTCTGATGGAGAGCAGGGCTAGATGGGATATGGGGGAGAAATTCTTCCCTGTGAGGGTGCCCAGAGAAGCTGTGGCTGGCCCTGGATCCCTGGCAGTGTTCAAGGATAGATGGGGCTTGGAGCACCCTGGGACAGTGGAAGGTGTCCCTGTCCATGGCAGGGGGTGGTACTGGGTGAGCTTTAAGGTGCCTTTCAATGCAAACCTTTCCATAGTTTTGTGATTTCATAATTTCATGGTTTCTGTGATTTCATAGTGTCTAAAGCTGAGCTGTGGCAGTTCAAGCAAACTCCAAGGATGGAAAGCGGTAAGTTGCCTGTTCCAGTGGGAATTACACCAACCCCCTGAGCAGATAGTAACCCCTGTCCCAGACTGTTTCTTCCTTTTGTTGGATTTTTCTCCACATTTTGGTGTTCTGTCTGACAAGCCAGGGAAATTCAGTGCTAGAAATCAGCCCTCAGCTGATACACTACTCACCACAGACAGCATGTGGGTCACTGCTGCTCCCAGGTAGGCAGTGAAGAGTGCTGTGAAAAAGAAAGGCAGTTCCTGGTGAGTTCAGTTGCTTGTGGAGTAGATCAGCAATGACAAACACCTCTCATTCTACTTTGGGGAGCACAGCTAATGATTATGACCCTGTCTGGATGGGTACCCTGCTGAACCCCTTCCTGTGTGTCCTCCAACCTGGAGCATGTGGGAGGGGCAAAACAAACCAGCAAGCAAACAAACAAACAAAACTGGAGTGATGAAAAATGTGCTATGGTATCATAGGCTTTTGAAAAATTCACTGTCACAGAATGTATGTAGCTTGATGGATGGGGTTAAATAGGAAAATAACCCTTCCACCCTCATTTGTCCTGCCTCCAGGGCTTGAAGGGGGGTCAATGGCATACAGAGCTAAATCTTTCTTATATGAGCACTGAATGAGCAATAGTTTCACTCACAGCTCACTCCGATACTGAAATTTCATATGGAATTGCCTTATAAATAATTCTTCAATCCTGCTGCATTGCCCAGCTCATGCCTTTGATCCTTTTCAAGAGAACGGGGAATGTGTACTGTCTAACTACAGTAGAGCTCCACTCTTCTCAAAGATTAGGCATGTCCCTCTTCAAAGAAGGAATTTGAGCTGGTATCTATGGCTGGAAAAAAACCAACATGATTCATCCAGCAATGAGCGAACAAACACAATTAATGACTCAAAACAAAGCATCTGATTTCAAAGACCTTAGATAGCATGTGTCCACTGATCACAGCTCTTGCTTTAAACACAACTCTTGGCCAAAAATGAAAGCACGGGGTGGGTTAAAGCCGTGGCTCCAACACCCAGCTCCACCACTCGTCAGCCTCACCTACATCCATCTGCCTGCCTGGAGGTGCCCATCTGGCTCCAGCCCACCTCTGCTGCATCCTGTCTCACTTCAAAGGGAGGTGAAAACCTGCTGGGTACCTACCACAGGCCATGGCCAGGAGGTGTGTCTGCCAGGTGAGAGCCAAGAACATGCCCCCGATGGCAGCGCAGGACAGGGAGCTGTTGTAGCCCCACAGCCCCAGGTAGATTTGGTTGAACGGCGTTGCTAAGCTCAGCCCTGGAAAATAAAGTCAGAAAGGTGTCATTCCTTGGCCAAGGAGATAAAAGCAATAGAGAAGTGGCATGAATCCAGATTTTTCAAAGGTTCTAGCCAGAATTTGTACATGGAGCTGTTTGCAGTTGTGTTGCTGTGGTCTAAGGGAATCGTGGCAGAATTTTCCTGTTGTGGCTGAGCTGAATTTGGTGATTTGATTTCAACAGAACACACGTGAGTGAATGAGCCTACATGTGAACCTTAAATGCATCCCTAAGCCAGCCCATTCAGTCTGATGGCTATGATTTTTCATGGATCTCCTCCTAAAACCAGGAGGACACACCCAGAAATTAAGTGTTTTGTGGTAAAAATTAACCTCAGCACAACAGACACCTTTTTCTTCTGAAGATTTCCACCATCATAAAACAAGGTAAGAGAATGGGAAAGTCAATCAAAAGAATCCTTAAAACAGAAGTTTGAGTATATTTTGTTTCCAAGCAGGCATTCTCCAGTGGGTGAAATACTTGTGACTTTAAGTGCTCTACTTATTGTAGTTCCTGTTTTATTCTTCATGCTTTTATATAATTAATATATATATATTTGAGAATATAATAATATATTATAATTATATACCGATCAGTGTGTGGACACAAATGAGTGGAGAGGAGATAAATAAACCAATTAGGAAAATTCCCCCAGTCCAGGGATTGTCACAGCCATAAACCTGGCCCACGCCAACTGGAATGGATTGCAGGAGCTGTAGAAATTAACAAAACAAAACAAACCAAACAAGACAATTTGTTATCAGCTTTGTAACTTTTGGTTTTTTTAAAGCTATTTTTCTTGGCCAGGCTCATGTTTGGCATTTGTTGGATGCAGTCCTTCTAAGTGGAACATTTGGACCTGTCTCAGGAGACAGCAGGGCATTTCCGCAGGGTTTCCCCTTCAGTGAAAATGAATCATGGCTTGTTCCCTAGACCTGAGCTCCTCTGCCAGGCTTTTGCTCTAAGATCAGAGATAAACATTTTGTGAAAGGGTTTAATCATCCTCCTTGCATGTGCTGCTGGCTTGACCATTTTTACATATCCATAGGGACCAATGAGAGTGAACTTAGGGGATGGTTCCCTTGGGATTTGTTAGAAATATGAGCAAGAGTTGCTGGGCTGGTGGGAGACAGAGCCCAGCTTCGTCACAAAATGTTTTTGAGTCACATTTCCAAATGCAGTCCCCATAATACAAACAATGTTCTTTGAGAAATGTCACTTATGGGTTACTATTTAGTGTCAATTAACTTCCTTTTCTTAATCTCTCCCTGGGAACCCCTTAAAATAATCAGCTAAGCCTCAAGAGAAAATAGTTACTCTGATATCTGTATTGTTTATAGTGTAATCCAGAAGAAGAAAGTGTTCCTTTGGAAAGGTCCCACTTGAATATAAATTAAAATGATGTGACTGTACCTGTGCCCAAGTTTTTAACCATTCTACCACAGTAATATCTGCTTGCTCATGTCTAATCAGAAAGATGCAATTTTATAAACAGCCTGTATCTGAAAAATTAAAATTACCCTGTGAGTTAACTGGCATTCTCAGCACAACCTTAGCTATGGGGAGATGATCAGTATATGCATAGAAATAGAAATGGGTAATTAGATTCAAGAAAGTATTTGAAGATTATAATCTATACCCTTGGATCCAACTGCACATGAAGAGGTTCTCATTTTCAGGCTATCAAAAATGTACATTCCTAGAGTAAACCCTTATATTTTGGGTAATAGTTCTCTTATAAATCAGATTTTGTACTGCCAGGCCATAATGCAGTAACAAAGGAGGTGGGCCTATTGGAGCGAGTCCAGAGGAGGGTGAAAAGATGCTGCCAGGGCTGGAGCCCCTGTGCTCTGGAGGCAGCCTGGGAGAGCTGGGGCTGCTCCCCTGCACAAGTATTCAGGCTCCAGGGAGAGCTGAGAGCCCCTGGCAGGGCCTAAAGGGGCTCCAGGAGAGCTGCCCAGGGACTGGGGACAAGGCCTGCAGGGTCAGCACCCAGGCAATGGCTTGCCAGTGCCAGAGGGCAGGCCCAGCTGGGATATTGGCAAGGAATTGCTGGCTGGGAGGGTGGGCAGGCCCTGGCACAGGGTGCCCAGAGCAGCTGGGGCTGCCCCTGCATCCCTGCAGTGGCCAAGGCCAGGCTGGACAGGGATTGGAGCAGCCTGGGACACTGGAAGTTGTCCCTGCCCATGGCAGGAGGGTGGCACTGGATGAACTTTAAGGTCCCATCCAACACAAACCATAGGAATCTATAAAGGAAGATAATAAATTTCTGTAGTGTTTTTAATTGTAAATGAAGGAGACTGTTACCCTTATGACACCCTACCATTGTGATTTCTGCATCTGCCCAGGTGATATTCGGGGTTGCTGTTGCAGGACGAATGATAGTTGTGGGGAAGAAGAGGTTGTGTGGTCCTGAAGCAGCCAGGTAGAGGGTCAAGGCCAAGTTGAAAGGCAAGGTGAGAACAGGCAGATCCCACTTAGAGAAAACTGCACTTAAAGCACTGGTGAAAATAGGGCTGAAAGAAGAACAAAATGGTCTCACTAGAAGCTTGTCAGAAAAATCACACCAGAGCCACATCCAAAAACAAACCCAGCTGCAGAAAATTTCATCTATTTTAAATAAATAAAAACTCACACCAAACCAAAAAACCCTCTCCTTCTATCTGTTTAATTTCCTCAATCTTTCTGCTCAAATCAGAGATGAGAAAAGGTCAGTCCATAAATTTTCTACCCCTCCAAAGGCAATAATCAATGTATAGATTCCTGTCATGTTATGTTAATAAGTATGGTGAATTTGGTGAGCATGAGGGAGACAGGATCCAGTGCTTTAATGGAGTTATTCCCCAGCTCAATCCCAGTGTTTACCTTTTATTTTTAGCACCTGAAGTGATCTGAGACTATGACACCCATGCTGGGTGTGAGTGCGCTGTGAACTGTGAATGTGGCTGTGTGCCCTTGTTCAAACTTGTGGATCAGCAGTAAAAGCTGGCATCAAAGTGACTGTAACACCACATGAACTTCAGGCAGACAAATTACATGTGTGGTTTTAGCAATCTGCAACTAGACATTCTGGGGTCAAAGACCAGGTTTCAAAATTTTTTGCTGGCCAAATACCTAGTGGATTATGGTGTTGTATATATGAGTGAAATATTATTAGTTGTTTGTTTTGATTAGTGTCAACCATCATGTCTTGGGACACTGAACAGCTTCTGTGCTTGGAGAATTAAATTTTCATGACATTTTTATATGGTGACTTAAACAGACGAAACACTTGTGGTTGATGATGGTAGGAAATGGTGAAAATAATGTTCCTCTTGAAACAGAAATGAATTGATGCACCACAGCAATATGACTCACATTCAGAATATTGAATTACACATGATCGGCCACTGATTTTTGTTGTCCCCACTGGGATTATTTGTGATTATATGGGTATTTTTATTTGTTTCTGGATTACATCTGAGTTTAAAAGTGTAAATAACAATGCAGATTCAACAGCACATATGTGTTAGCTGTGTTCCCTTTCCACTGCCGTCTGCATAGAAACACAACAGCTCATTCTCACATGTGGGAACTCTGGGGCTGGAAGGAGGAGCAGAGGAGCAATCTGACTTACCAGGTCATGGACACCAGTGCCACTGGCAGGAGGAGCCACCAGTTGTAGTCTCCATCAGCAGAGAAGACAGCCATCAGCAATCCCACCAGGACCCCATTGTATCCATACAGGCCTGCTGCTATGGCTGACCTGTGTGCAGGAACAGCTGCCTTGAAGTCTTCTCCCCTGAGGATGCTTTGCTCACACCAGCCCTCCCTCCCCACCCAGCTGTGGCTCTGTTTGGGGATGACCTGCTGGAACTCGTCCACCGACATCCGATTTCCACGCTTGGGTCAGTGCCTACCCCTTCTGCAGGTTTGTCCAGAATCCCTCTGCACCAGGTGCAGCTGCTGGGAGGACCTGTCTGGTCCTACCAGACCAGATATGTGCCCAGTCAAGGCTGTATCACACAATCATAGAAGGTTTGGGTTGGAAAGGACCTTAAAGACCACCTTGTTCCAACCCTATGCCATGGGCAGAGACACCTCCCACTAAATTCAGGCTTCTCATCGACATCAAACATCTAACACATAAATCAGCACTGAAGTGGCCACCTGGGGAAGGGGGAAAGGATGGACTTACCTGTCCTGACACAGAATAAGTGCTGTTAAAGTTGAGACAACTGTTCCCACACATCCTGTGAGTGTCCACCATGGGTTCTGCAGCAGGAGGCCGGTCAGAATGACCAGCCCACTGAGGGGATTGTTGACAAACATCACCTGGGATATCCCACGCAGCACCCAGTCAAGGAACTGGATCATGAGAGGTTTGTCTGGAAAAGATTAAATTCAGTAATAAAACAAGCCCCCTAAAGTCTGCAGATGGTACTGATTTGGGATGTATTTTTGAAACTCAGGAAGAGTTTTGGCAGTGGGACTTGGCACCACGACTGAAGCAATGAATCAACAAGACTGTAAAAGCTGACAGGGATTTATTATGGTCTACACTGAAGTCTTACAGCTGGAAAACTGAGATGAACAGTGAGGTTGCCAGAACTCTGTGTTATAAAGTACCCTGGACCAGATTCATATGAACCAGCTAATTTATGATGTCTGTGGCTCAGATGGCAAATTGTGTGTGTATCCCACTGCTGATTTATTACAGGGACCAAACACACCCACCTATGTGTAATTTAACTTCACAGTGGCACAAGGCTTGACAGAAACTGCTCAGCTGAAAGGACATGGAGTGTTAAGAAGAATGGCAGAGTACAGAATAACCATCCAGGGCTATGTTCTGTGGGACTAAATTCACCTTGTTCATGGCATGCTGGGAGATAAATGTCATCTCAGACATCCCCAAGATTTAGGCAGTATGTGGATCTCTGCACAAAGCTGATTTTTTCCCCCCTACAAAATGGACATAAATCCGGGTAGAGGTAGTTCCTGTACTACTCTAACTTGAATCACGTCAACAGAGAAGTTAGTTATTACTCCTTTGATGTACTTTTTATTTGGAATCCTCTCTCATTAGTCACTATGAAGTAGGTTTACCTTTCAGCCAGATTCCAAAATCCTTCATGTCTCCGGTGAGGTAACCCACAGCTCTGCAGAAACTCTTCCCACCTGTGCTCAGTGGATTCTGCTTCATTGGCATCCTTTCCCCCTTGGTTTCTATCTTGACATCAACACAGTTTTCCATGTTGATATTCTGAACCTTTGATAAAATTAAAGGGAAAAGTAAAAAAGAGAATTCATCACAATGTATCTTTCTGATCCCTGTTTATTTTCTTTACTGCATAACTGCTCACTGTGTGTTACTTTGGAACCAGAAAGAGGAAAATCCTGACTCTGAACACCTGATTCTTTTGTCTCCATGAGCACATTCCGTCTTTCATTTCACTGTCCTTCCAGACTTCCAGAATATGTTTCATTTATTAAGCTCCTCTGCTGCTTAACCCATATTTCCAGCTTGAATTTATCCAGGTTGTCCTGAGGCTGTCCATGGTGCTTTATTTCATTTTTCACATGCATTCATACATTTCTTTTCCTCATTTGAACTGCACTTTAAGCTGACCAGTCTTTAGAAGAACCCAGCATTGACTCAAGGGTTTGATGCTCAAATTCACAGTTCCTGCTTTCCTCTATGCCTTTGTCATGTTGTTTTCTTCTCTGCTGAGACAATACTGGGGACTGCACATTGGAAGCTGTAGTAAGAAACCCTTGGGGACTAATGAAAACACCCTTATTAAATTTAGCAGGTGCTATAAAATGTTTAAATAAGGTAGGGGACTGTTGTAGGCCCAGCAAAGATGTTCAGGCCTAAATAAGGTTTTTGGGGTGTAGGACTGGGAAATGGGGGTTTTTGGGGTGTAGGACTGGGAAATGGGGTCCCCTTAGGGACATGCACTGCTGGAATAAACTGTGGGACCTCAAACAACCTAGACAGCTTTTTATTATTTATTTATTTATTTATTTATTTATTTATTTATTTATTATTATTATTATTATTATTATTATTATTATTATTATTATTATTATTATTATTATTATTATTATTATTATTATTATTATTATTATTATTATTATTCAGGCATGTGGATCAGAGGCTTAGACCTAAAAAACAGTGCCTATAGCCAATTCATTTTTTGTCTAAGAGCCGATTCTGAATATGAAATCAGCAAATAAATTAAAAAAAACCCTGTTCCTGGAGCATACTCTGTTTCCTGAAGTAGTTAGTGGAAATTATCAAGCAGACAGCAGACAAAGTGTGGTGGTGTGTGAATACTGAACCAGTGGTGCTTCAGGTCTCACTGGTGAGTACCAGCTTATTCAAGAGGTAATGAATTTAAATTGGGAGTTGATAGTCTAAATAGGGTGATACAGACACACAGGTCTTGTGTCAGTCCTTGACTCACTCAAAACTTTACCAAAAGCCTTGTGAACATTTGAGGGGGAGAACCCATAGCTCAGAAACACAGGTGCTGAGACACTTATGCTGCTTTCACCCCTGGGCATTGCACGTCCAGTCCCTGCATCGTGGTTCAGCAGCTCAGAGCTGGTGTAGGGAAATGCCTGGTTAATGCACCATTGTTAATCCTGGGCAGTTTCTCACTCTTATGATACTGGAGGGCTGGTGGTGACCTTTCAGGAAGCAGTAAATATTTGCACAGATAATAAATGGACATTTTCCACCTTCTGGAGGAGCCCAGCTAATAGAAGGACAGGTTCCATGTGAGAAGCTGATTACAGGACCAGTATATAGAAAATAGTATTGAGTTTGGCTTTGTGTAGGACATGAAGGTAAGGACCTGGAATAAAAAGGCTAAGGAAGAAAAGCAAAGGAGGAAAGAGAGGTGCTGGGGAAAGGCTGTTTTTTGAGTTTGCTATATTTCATTACCTTAATTCATTAACCTTCACTTTTTTCATACTTTATTCTGGAATAAGTGACTTGAATGTACTTTCAGTTAATTCAAAATTTCCAGCCAAGATAAATGCTCTCAATTTGGTGAAAGTGCATATACATTTTCCTTTTAAAGCAAGCAGCTTGGGCTTTCCCTGTTGCTAACCCATAAAATAAAGTGCTGCTGCACCGCAGAGCGATGCTGTGAGACCCATGCTGGCATGCCCTGGGTGTTCCCCTGCATGCTGAGTGAGGAGCTGTTTCCACTCAGGAGCCTGCAGAATGGGGTGTAATGTGCATGTGAAGTATTGGAGTCACTGTTCAGTCCACTTGTACAGTGGAGATAAAAATGGATGAAGCTGAGGGTCTGAATTCACCAAAAAAATCGATGTATTGCTTTGCCACGTGAAGGCAAGTGTGAGCTGGCAGTGCTCCTCTGGGTTTCCAGGGGCAGAAATGAAGCCAGCTCACTGCAGCTGGCACGGCAAAAAGGCCAGGTGACCTGGTGAGTCACTTGCACTGACCTGTCTCAAACTTCACGCTCAGTGAATACCCAGTGTACCGGAGTATTCAGAGTCACAGAGACTGCGGGGTGATCGTGGTTACCTCCCGTCCAGCAGTGCTGCTCAAACTCATGCTCATTATGTCACAGAACCATAGAATACTCTGTGCTGGAAGAGACCTTTAAGGCTCATCTATTCCAGCCCCTCAGGCAGTCCCATTTGACCCAGGGATGGGTGTCTCCGGAGAGGGACCGCAGGAATTTCATCCGTTCAGCAGAGCAGGTAGGGAGTGACAGGACAAGGGGCAGTGGCTCCGAACTGAGAGAGGGCAGGGATAGATTTGACATTTGGAAAGTATTGTTCTATGTCAGGATGGTGGGGCCCTGACAGAGACTGCCCAGAGAAGCTGTGGTTGAACCATCCCTGGCAGTGTCCAAGGCCAGTTTTGACAGGGCTTGGAGCAACCTGGGATAGTGGGAAGTGTCCCTGCCTATGGCAGAGGGTGGGACTGGGTGAGCTTCAAAGATGATTCCTTCCAACCCAAGCCATTCTATGATTCTTTATGCTCATGGAGAATGAAACCATTATTGAAGAACCCCCTCACCCCCAGAGCAGCCAGGTGGGAAATGGGTACAGCCCAAGAAAAACCTTTGGTTTTGGATGGGGTCTTCATGGCACAGTAAAGACCCAGATGTAGCCCCTCTGGTTTCATGACCTCCCTGAATCCCATCCCAGGCACAGGTGTGGGGGCTGTATCCTGTGTGAGGGGGTTTTGTTGTCACCAGAGCCCTGAGGCTTGTCCCATCTGTTCAGAAACACAAAGTATGAAGCACTTGCACCACTTGTACTTAGTTATCCAATAACATAAAGAGGTAGTGAAACACTTGGAAACTGGCACCAGCATAAAGTTTTTTAGGCATTTTTAGTGATTTTACAAAGCAGTACCTACCACAGAAATGCACAGATTAATGATTTTACACATTATGTTGCTTCAGGGAGTAGGTGATAGCAGTAGGTATATAAGAAAGGAGAGAATACAAAATGTGTCTTATCTCAGAATTGTGGATATGCACAGAGAATTTTAACACAGTGATCTCTGAATAATAGTGCAGACTGAAGTGTACATGTTCTGATGGGGATTTCATGTGTGCTGGTCTGCAGTGGGTCTTTTGAAGACCTGCAGTTGAAGCTATGAAAACACAGGGTTTTCACTGAAAGTGTTCTTTTTTAGTGCACAAAGGACAGAAATGGAAATAATTGCAAAAGGAGTGTTCTGTTGGAACCGGGGGGCAGGTTCCGTAATAATTTTTTTTTTTTAAAATCTTGATTTCTATTAGACTGGGAAAAAGAAGTTTATTTAAAAACTAAGTCCTGTTCTCAGACAGACAGCTTGGAGCAGCTGCCTTGTCTGACATAAACTCTAGAAAGGTGCTCCAGCCCTGCAGTGCAAGCTCCCAGTACTGGTGTGTAGATGGTGAGACACTGGAGCAGCAGCAGAACCCAGGCAGAGCCATCTAAATGCACTTTTCACCTCAGTTGTGATTTGTAGTGTGCTGTAAGTGCAGAGAAGCTATTTAAAACCATTTTCATGGGAAGTGAGAGCTCCCCATGAAACAAAACAGAAAACATAAAAGATGTTTCCCTTTTATGAAGATGAAATCATCACAGGGCCGAGATGCTAATCTACCGTGCTTTTTTAATCATCCTTTCAGAGTTAATAAATGTCCTGTAGCAAAGTACTGACGTTATGCAACTCCGTGTCTCCCTAAATCAATTTTCCTTCCACTTGTGTACACTTCCTCCCTGTCAAGCCATACCCACGGCACCTCAGCCATGCCTTGTTAAAGCTGGCTCCGTGCTGGGGCTGCACTCCTGCAGCATCTGGCCCTGCAATTACTCCTTTATTCACCTGCTGAGGAGGAGACCAGCCTGGCCACATGTTTGTGTTGTGCATGGTAAGAGCAGTGCTGTGCTTGCAGCTGGGAGAGGGACAGAATCTTTAATTTGGCTGACGACTACTCCCAGGTAATGGGCGCTTCCAAGCCGGACATTGGGCTTTTGGCAGGGAAAATGCAGCAGAATTATCTGGTGCTTTCTCTTCTATCTAGAATTTTCCTCTCTCCCTGCCAAAATTCAGGTTTCTCTGAGGGTTTAGTGTATGGAGAGGTATTTGTTTGTCCGAGGACCTGCTACTGCACAATCGCAGCCATTGTATCTTGCATTCTCTGAATTGTTGCTGTGAAGTCTGCGGGCAGCCAAGCTCTGTGTGCAGCCTGTTTTTAGAGGAATTCCTGCATCCAAGCACAATAGGAGGAAAGGGCCAGACTCTCAGCAGCTCTAAATCCAGCACAGCCCGTGTTATGTTACCAGGGGTGTAGTAAAGCTGGATTAATATTGTGTTAGGCATAGGAACACACACAAGCACAAGCACAATCCTTGAAAGAGATTATAATGCACTTGACCCTCACTGGAAAAAAAATGGTTCATCTTCTCCCATAGAAGGTGTATTTCAAAGTATTAGTTTGAAAGAAAGCTTACCCCACAGATTCAAATGTTCATTAAGCTCACATGCAATTCAGTTTTCAGAGACCTGTCTGTCAGGGACAGAGAAATACAGAAGCACTATCACATCAGATGTGTATTATTACTATCTAGGCATTTTCATTTGGCACAATGGAAAGGCAGCGAAAGGAAATGTTAAAGAGTTCCTGTTATTTCCCTTTTTTTTACATTTCTTTTCTTTTTTTCCTCCAAGGTTCAGCCACCTGGGCTAAGCAGTACTAACAAATCCTCACCTGGCTGGAAGCTTCTTGATAACTAATATTCTTGTGCTCCTCCTGAGCTGTTCTCCTGCAGCAGGACTGCTCAAATGCTGTTTGCCAGGTGTTTTGAGGGAAAGACCCAGGTAAGTCAGTAACAGGCTGCATTAAAAGGAAACAACAGAGTGCTCTTACCTCTCAGATGAGCTCAGGAGTAGCTGTAGGTTTGCTGGTTAGGCCAGAAGGAAAGTAGGGAAAAAGAAAATGTCCCATCGGCTTATATAGGCTAGCATGGCTCCTGTCCTGATATTACTGATTTGTTTCTCCTCCCACTTGGTGAGCTCCAAGTGAATGTTAAAAAGGTTCCCCTTTGGATTAAAAAAATTAGTTCTCCTTTAACTTTGTCCTTTCTTCTTCTCTACCATTTAAAAGGATAGAAGATTTTAAAATGGATTGTCAGTGTTCCTGAGCTTGACCTCTCCAGCATTATCCTCCTTATCCAATACAATTTAGAATCCTTCCCTACCAAAAGTCTGACCTGGGATTGTGCAATACAGCATTTTGTATTCAGCAGCCTCCCAGTTTTCCTGCTTCTGGGTAGCTTTCAGAAGTACTATTCTGTTAATGAAATACAATGGAAGACCAGATATTCCATTGTTTAATTGCTTTTTATCAATTATTTGAGAAATTCAAATTTCTCTTCTTTCTAAAAAAAAATAAAATTAACTTGTCCTCCCTGTCTCACTGAAGGAATCTGAAATATCAGAAGTGTGGCATATTTGAGAGGTTTATAAGCCTGTGAAAGTGCTGCAAATGACAGAGAAGAGGCTGGAGAGGGAAGGCTGGAATAGTAACACAGGAGAAGGGGCAGAGAAGATGGTGAACTTAAGGGACATTTTAGGCTAATTTAAGCCACAGCAGAATTCACTTTAGGACTGTTTCACAGTGATACCTGAGAAAGGAACCTTGCAAATTGAGCTGGGGAGAATGTTTTATTGTTGAACCAGAACCCATCTAACTCGATGGCTTTGCTCCCCTCGGCCCTGTGGAACCACATGCACAAGAGCTGAAGGGATGTTATTCTCACTGCACCCCACCCATCCCTGGGTGCATCTCTTTTGATGGAGATGTTTTTAACAGCAGACTGGATTTTTTTATCCCCTAAGAGGAGGGCATCTGATATAAGCTGTCAGCTTAGCATTGCTGCCAGAGCTAGTCTTCCTCTGATCAGATAGGCAGCAGCCTCGTGAGTGAGCCAGACACTGTCATCCTATGCCTTTGCACCCAGCAGAACATGAAATTTTGCAGGGGAAGCTGCTTCACTCTAGTGCAGGTAACATATTTTCCCTTTACCATTACTTTCTCCTTGGGCTGTCTTTGCTTTCTGACTGGTGAAATGAATCCCTGCATCCAAAGAAGGGAAATGCATTGGGTGATTTGGATGGAAGAGCCTCACAGGGAGTCTTCTCAGACTGAGTTTTTAGCTTCATGGCTGTGATATTTCAGAGATGCCCAGGCCTGGCTTCAAGTTATTTCAAATAACATCTTTTCAGCTCTCCCTCAAATGGGGGCAGCACAGGGGGCAGGCAGGGCTCATTCCTGGGTTGTGCTGTAGGGCATTTCTTTCCCCCAGAGAATCACAGATCCACAGAACATTCTGAGCTGGAAGGGACCCACAAGAATCATCGAGTCCAGCTCTGAAGTAAATGGCCCATACAGGGAATGAACTCACAGCCTTGGTGATACCAGCACCATAATCTGACCAAAGGAGAAAATGTCAGGGTCACAGAATCCCAGAATCTTTCGGGTTGGAAGAGACTTGAAAGCCCATCTCATTCCACCTCCTGCCAGGAGCAGGGACATCTTTCACTATCCTAGGTTGCTCCAAGCCCCATCCAACCCAGTCTGGAACATTTCCAGGGACAGGGTTGGCAGGGACTGTGCCAGGGCCTCCAAACCCTCACAGGGAGCAATCTCTTCCTAACATCTAATCTCGACTGCTCTCTGTCAGCATGAAGCCATTCCCACCTGTCCTGCCACCACATGTCCTTGTACAAAGGAACCAGATTCAGGACTGCTCTGTCTGATTCTGGTGCCTTAATGAGGTATTTGACAGGTTGGAGTGACACACAAAAAAGCCCATGGCTGGCAGGTCAGTGATGGATATCTTGGAGTGGTGCATTGTTTAGATTATCAGAGCTGGTTAATAAGTAACAGGATCACAGTCTGCTGATGCCCTGTGGGAATGAGGCCCCTGGCAGAAGCCTGCTCTGGGCTGGAGGCAGAGCAGGGAAGACCTCCAGTGCCATGTGACAGAGTCACTGGATCCCAGGTGCAGCCAGCTGGATGCAGGAATGCCTGCCTGCAGCTGTGTGCCCCAGGCAAAGCTCTCCTGGTTGCCTGAGGCCTGAGATTCCCTCTGTGTAGGATTAATGCAGAAAGGTGGGAATGGTAGAAAACCTCCCAGATGTAACTCAGTGCCAGTTCTGGTGCCCATCACCTCCAGTGCTGGCCACTCAAGGATGTAGGTATTCTTTGGGGTTCAAGGTGGGAAAACTGAGCCTGAAATGGCCATTCCTAGGCAAAAGGATTGAGATGTGCCATGTGTTTGAAAATTTGCTTGAAATCCAAAAAAACCAGCTGTCACATATCACCTGCCTGGGAGTGGGCCACCAGCTCTGGGTGGCCAGGTAAATGTGTGTAAATTTTTCATACAGGAAACAGAGAGGACTAAAGAGCTGCCTCTTGGTTTTAGGTGTGTGTGAAAGACCACTTGGTGCTGAGGACAAGGCAGCTGGTGCTGGTGTCTGACAGCTCAGCTCTGTGTGATTTAAGAGGTCTAAATCTGTGACTTACCTCATCAGCTCTCTGCTGGTGAAGATGCTTGATGTTTCTTCCTCTGTGCTCTCTGGGAAGGTGTCTCTGAGCACATCCCTTGGACCAGGCCCGGTGCTTGACATGGTCAGAGCAGGGGTTGGTCATTGGATCTCAACCAGACACAGCACCAGGAAAATGCTGAATGATGCCTGACTGGTTTAGCTTGCCAGGCAGGAGCTGTCTGGCTGCATCAGCTGGGTACAAAGCTTGAACTGGTCAGCTGTGCCAGGAAAGATTCTAATGGCCCTAATTCAGCTTCACACACTTTGGCTTCATTCCTCTCTCAAGCCTCAGTGGCCTTGAAGAGGTGCATTAAAACCACTTTGGTAGCAGATTTGCTGGTTTTGGCTGTGCTCCTTGACTCAGGTTTTACCAATGGGAATAGGTCTGCTCAGGGAGCTGCATCAGCCCTTGGACTCCAACAGCATTTTAAAACGGTGTAAATCCATGTATGGAGCTTTACAGGTTGCTAAACCCCAAGTCCTGGTCTGCTTTTGCTAGACTGGGGTGTGGATATGTGATTTGTGACCAGTGCTTGTGGGAGAAAGGGAGGGATCCCCTCCCTGGAAATGCTGACAGGATTCCCCCTAATGCAGCCCACAGAGATATTTGCTTTCTTGCTGCATGGACACCTTGCTGCCTTGTGGTCACCTTGGTGACCACCAGGACCCTCCAGGCCTCTTCTGCCATGCTGCTTTCCAGCTGCAGGGCCACCAGCAGGTGCAGATGGAATTGTTCCTCCCCAGGACTCTGCACTTCTTCTGGAACTGCAAGGGGTTCTTGTCAGCCCATTTTTCTCTGCTGAGGACCCTCTGGATGCCAACACAACCCTCTTGTTGGTATACCCAACACTACTCCCAGTTTTGTGCTTTCCCCAAGTTTGTTGAGCACCCTGCTCCAACATTCTAGTCATTAATTAAGAAATTAACCTTATTATGCCTGGCTTACACCACTAATGACTGGCCTCTATGCGTAATTTGTGCCACCAATTATAACACTTTGAGCCCAACCATTTAGCCAATTTTCAATCCAAATTGCTTCACACCTATTTTAGCCCATTCTTCATTAACTTGTCCTTGAGGATGTAACGGGACAGAGTGTCAAAATGAGGCAATGCTCCAAATTTGATACAGTGAAGTGAGGGACTTTTGCAGCTCACCTGGGTTGACTGTGACCAAACTTAATGTTTCACTACCAGAAGTACTGCCAGTCTGTAGTTCCTGTGGAGGTGTGTGGAGGGCTGGCAGTGGTAATGGAAGTATGGCAGGAGTGAGAGAGAGAGCCATGTGGTGGGAGAGAGCCATGTGGTGGGAGAGAGCCCATGTCCTGGCTGAGGACACACCTCTGATCAGCTGTGGCCTGGCCTGACCCACAGACAGGGTTCCTGCAGGGGCAAGTCAGCCCCCATCAACATCCATGGCCACTTTCTTTCACATCTTCTTGTTTTTATGAGTGAGTGAAGAGCAGAAAAGTCTGTTTCAGCACAGAGCACCACAGGGTCTGTCACAATCTTGGACTTGTTTGCTGAGGGCAAATCATTTTGGGTTTATACAGAGCGACCCAAAAGCTGAGCTGGTATGGGAAGTTTCTACCCCTACATTTTGGCTTGTAGAAGTTCTCTAGAGGAAGGCATTGCCCTGTGTGACAGTGGGATGGGGTGGGGTAAGTGGCTGAAGCGGAGCACGGTCTGCTCCGGTGTCCATCTCCCTCTCCTGGTGTGACTCCAGCACAGCCACGTGTGCAGCTGTGGAAATTGCAGCAAATATTCAGATCTCCTGGTTCAGAGGGCTCACAAAGAGCAGCTCCCTGGCCCTGGCACAGCTCAATCTCCTTGTGCTCTGTGTACTGCTCTTGATGATGTACGCTCCCAAAATTACCAGCTCTCCTAAAGCATCGCTTCCCTCCTCTTCCTACCTGCTCTGGAGACCCACTGTCCCTTCTGTCCACCTTGACATGCTCTCATGACTCATCTCCTCAGTCCATGCAGCTCCAAGAGTGCAGAAGTGATATCTGGAAACCAGCTTACTGATTAGGAGCGACAGTTTCTGTATCCTGGGATAGGAGTGGGGCAGGAATTTGTGAAGAGCAGGTTGTAGACGTCTTACAGCTACAGCAGTGTGCAAAAAAGCTCTGCTCTGTCATGGCAAAATAAGTGGCAGCTTTAGAGAGAGACTCTCTTCATGCAGGCTGGTGCTCTGAGTGCTGGGGTAGAAAACAACTCCTTTATTTCAGCTGCAATTTTTTTCAAGGTATTTATTCAAAACATTGATGCTAGTGGGGGAGAGGAATTGTTTGGAAAGGCACTGGTTATCCAAGGCCAGCACATGCCAAAGACTGCAGTGGTGGTTCAGCAGCTTGGTGATGAGGACCTGCCCCCTGGAACCATCCCATTCACCAGTGTGCCCATGGTGTCCAGCTCAGGAAATGTGTCTGAGGCTGCAGGAAGGACCTGTCATGTGTGTCATGGAACCCAGTGAAATACAGGTCAAAGAAAAGCCCAGTGCATTGTTCTGGCTGGTTCCCCTTGTTTGGTTTTGTGCCTCTTCCCTTTTTCCAGTCAGCTGGATCATTTTTCCTACCAGCAATGGACATTTCTCCAGGCTGGTCTGGCTGCCTGTGGTGACAAGATTGAGTACCAAGTCCTGGACTTGGAAGCTGAGAGGCAGAAAATCTCACTGGTTCATGCCTGAATCTGAACATCGAGGCTGTTTGTTTTTCTGCTCATCTCTAGCATGGCAGACTGGATCATCCACATGAGAATCACAGCATTATAGGATAGTTGTTCAGAGAAGACCTTTGAGATGATTGAGTCCAACCATGATATTGAAACAGTCTGAAATACTGGAGGGATTTTGAAGCCTGAGGCTGACTGTATTGCTGTATTTCAGTAAAGATGGGAAATTGAAACTCAAATAGTTCTTATTTTCTGCTTCAGGTGTCCTAGCTCCAGGGAAAAGCCCAAATTCAAAAAGGCTCTTTTCCCAAACCTACCTCAGGGCAGCAGGATCCTGTTGGAAATGACAAAGCTGGACTTGGCTCTTTTTATGATGCAAGACAAAATATTTTTCTGCTTCTTCATCCACTTCTGCAATGTGAGAGTCAATTCACTTCCCTGCACCTACTCTCAGCTTAATAAACTTCCCTGCCCTTTATGTTTGCCCTGATGGTAGGGCTGTGAGTCTCACCCAGGGTATGGCTGCTTCCAAGGAAATCATCCATTCTCAAAAACCTGTATGTTGTAGGAGATGTATGTTTTAGGCCTTAACATAGAGCAGAATACCATAATTTTTCCAACAAGAAACTTGTTCAGCCTATAAATCCCAGTGATCACTACTTTTTTGCCAAGTAGTTCTTACTAGAAGTGGAAGATGCTGTACATAGCATGGGTTGCTGATGAACAAGAGGACTGGTAGCATCCAGAAATTAACCTTCAGACAGTAGAAATAACTGAAAATTAATATGGATAGAGGAATGGATAGAGGGAGAGTTACTCTGTCTGTGGGTGATTATGCAAGCAGTACTGCAGAGCAACATTTTCACACACAAGCACAAACAGGTATAAATCCATTCACAGTAAAGATGCACATCTTGGGTTAGGTAAAAGAAAAAAACAACAAAATGTCTTATCTGTTGGATAACTCAGTTTCTGCTAAGGGAAAATGTCCTTAATGTGATTTAATTTGCACAAGTGAATTAAGCTCACTAGGCTACAGTAAGAAACCATCACTGGCTGACAGTTTGTCATCACCTCTGACTTTTTTGTTTTCTCCAAAGACAAAAAGTCTCTCCCTGATTTCTGGCTGAGTGGTTCTGCAGAGCAGAGATATTTGGAAGACAGAGCAACAGACCTGTCAGCACTTGGCTGAAATGAGGGAAGTGTGGAAAAGCACTGTCAGGTACAGGACAGGGTGTGCTGGGGGAAAAAGATTCCAGACCATTTTAAGCTGCACAGGTCAAGGACGCCTCTGTCTCTCTGCCTTTGCCTTGTGCACAGCACAGTTTAATTTGCAGAGACTGGGATGTGCTAAACAGCCCCAAGAACTGTGCATTTTGGGTTGTGACACAGTTGGATGTTTTTTGGAAGGGCTTCTGCACGCACTTTGGTGCTTCAACCCTGCTGTGCTGTGTGAAGATGCACATTTTGGGAGCAGGGGTTTGTGTCTGCCTCAAGTGTCTATGCAAAAACCTAGACCTGAAGGTGGATGTGAGGATGCAGTTCCATGAGACCTTAAGCTCTTGAATGCACAGAGGTTACTGAGTGCACTCAGAAGCTGCTGAATAAGAAGTCAGAGATATTCAAATTAATTGCTGGGCACAACGTGGTGGAAGAAACCTTTGCTTCCCACAGAGCCATCCCACGTCTTATCCCACCACTGGGATGTGTGAATTCCAGCTGCAGCAGCAGCTGTAGGAGTTTGTAAAAGAGTCTCTGAGAACTGTAAAATCAACTGCAATCAAGGGCTTGTTTCCTGTTTGAACTACTTCCATCTCCCAAATTAAAACTGACGTAGAGGAAGAGGGAGTGAGGGAACAGCATTCAGCAAACAGGTCTCCCCCTCAGGGTGGTGATATTTCTGCAACCCTGGCAAATGTGATCTGCAGAAAACCTAAATCATCCTGCAGTGTTGGGCAATATGTCTGTCATTGGAGACTGGAGGAATCTGTCATGGGCAGAGCACGGAGAAACTCCCCAGCAGCTGGATATTTTTAGGAATTATCTTTTTCTGATAAGTTTTGAAGTTTTGGGTTTTTCAGCTTGTAAGAAGGTTCCATGTTGCTGGAGTGCCCCTCTAGGACACAGAGCCCTTCCTGTTATTTTCTGGTGCCTGCTGGGATGCTGGCTGGCTCCCTGTGCCACCAGCCTAGGTGCTGGGGAGAGATGCATACTCTCCCTGCATCTGATGATTTCAGGCTCCAATCAGTCTGCACTGATTGCTTGCAGGTGTGGGAAGAAGAGATGTCCTTTGCAGAAGGGCTGAAAAAAAGGACAGTATTTATTTTAAGCTGACAGCAATGTTGAATGGAACAGGGAGTAGGCTCTGCTGTAAAGCAGCTCTGGTTGCTTGAGAGCAGAGGCCAACAGGGAAATGTGTTCATCAGGCTTTAACCCCGCCATGCTTTGCTTTGTGGGTGCCATGCAGTGCTGCAGCCACTTCTCCCATCACTGATGGGAAGCACAGCACTGGGTTTTCCAGGTCAGCAGCTCGGGGTGTCCCCTGCTTGGTGTCACCACCTCCTGTTGTGGTCTCCCTCTGTGCTGCTCTTCCCATCAGCTCTTGACCCCTGTGAGGAGGTGATTAGGTCCAAAGAAGATCAGATGATGGAAACCAGTTTTAGAGTGGATTGGATTGTGGAAAGGGCAGTCAAACACTGACAGGCAGGGATGGAGACCCCATCCCTGGAAGGATTTAAACCCCGTGTGGATGTAGCACTTGGGGACGTGGGTTAGTGGCAAATGTAGCAGTGCTGGAGGAGTGGTTGGACTCGAGGATCTTAGAGGGCTTCTCCAGACTAAAGGATTCAGTGCTTCTGTGGCTCAGGAGGGAAACTTTGCTCTCCAGTAACTGCAGTGCAGGTGTCAGTGTGGCTCTGACCTCTGCTACAAATGTCCACTGGGAAAGCAAATCCCTTCCCTCCACATTCCCTCCGTGCATCTTTGCTAATTATTCATGAAGAGTCATTAACAGGTAAGTCATACTGGAGCCACCAATACCCAAGCCAGGACATCTAAAGAGCTTTTCCCAGCTTTTTCTGTAGGAATTCTGTGACCAATCTTATCAACAGAAGCACTTATGTCTTTGGGAGAAGAGCTGAGAACTTCCTCTCAAAGAGCAAAGTTGGGGTTTTTTTTATTTTTTTCCTGTTAGGGGGCATGAAGCAAACACAAGAGTAAGAAAAATAATATTTGGAGCAATAAAGTAAGCATTTTTCTTGGAACTGCATAGTGTATATTCTATTTTTTACATTGAGCTCCACTTAGAATTGTCTTAATTCACTAGGAAGCTCTCTTGCAATTCCTTTACTTTGCTTAGTCTGTTCTGCTTTTTAATATTTTAAGGCAAATTTTTAGGAGATTGATTTTTTTTTTTCATGTGCTTTGGCTAGGCCAGGTGCTGGTTTGTATAGGAACATTTATTTAGTGCTATTTAAGGTGGAGGTGAACTGGCTTTAATTATAGAAGATGCTTTTAAAATTTTTTCTCCTTTAATGGTCATATTTATTTTATGTTAGATCCCTGGGAGCTGTCTCAAAATTATTAGTCCCCACTGAAAACTGTACATTTTATCTCTCTTAATGAAAATTTTTATAGAACTCTCTAGGTATCAGGCTGCTGGGCTACCACTGATAGCTTCAGTTAGTGCTTTTATTGTCTGCTGTTCCTTTGCAGGAGACACTTGATTTGTTTTCCCTGTTTTCAAGAATTATTAATACTGGCTATAGTTACTCAAATCTTTTGATTAGCTAGAGACTTAAAAAAGCTGTTTATACTCTATTTTTTATGGAAGGCTTCAACTCTAGAAATTGCTTTACTAATTGATTTCAGGATGGATTTTCTTGTGGCTGAGGAATTAATGTCTGCAATGGCACTTACATGACAAATCCTTTCCAATAGCCATATTGTGCCTGGGCTTCACTCTTATTTTTAGAAAAACAAACGATATGTTGGGCATAACTGACAGCAGCTGAGATTTTTCTTCACATATATGCTTCCAGCATTATTTTGCAGTATTTTTCCCACTACCTTTGCACTGCTGCTATTCAAATATTTCTCTAATGCTGTGCATGAGCTAAATTAAACTGTTCATGAATAAGCTCTTCTAGTTCCTGTGCACTTCATATTTCATTGACTCTAGTTCCTGTGCACTTCATATTTCATTGACTGCTGGAGAGAGAAGGTCTTCAGACAGTTGTGTGTCACCCCTTACATTATTCTGCCTCTTTTTGTCTCTCTAGAGCAGCAGCAACAGGGGGATGACCCTGATCTTGCAGTTTGTAGTGACCATGGGAGACTGTCCAGCATTGGTTTGCTAATATCATAGCTCAAAGGAAGTGGGACCTAAATTTTACCAGAACTCCTGGAATGGCTTCCCCTGTTTAAACAAATATCTGAACATAAACAACACCATGTTTTTGTCTTCCTGGATGAATTCAGTCCTGGATTCTGTTTCTCGGGGACATTTAGAGGGGTGGCAGATGCTGGTGCTGCTGGATTTTTAGCGATAAAGGCACAAATAATCCCAAGAGCAGTGCCCAGGCTCACCTTTTTAAAAAGTGTTTTTTGGACCTGTTCAAAAATACTCATGTGGATCTGCAAAATAGCCCTACATCGTAAGGCAGAGAGGACAACAGCTGATCTGAGTGCTTGTGGTTGCACAGTCCCTCTGGATTTTAAATCCTCACATCCTTTGGGTCTGTGGTTTTAAACTGATCTCCTAGAACAACTTTAGAGTGAGGGAGACTTTCTGTCAGGCTTCCTTCATGGAGATTTTGGGAAAGTTCCTGTGAAAATCCTCCTTAAGGCATTTGGTACTTCCCTCTTGTAAAGACCTTGAGGAGGTATAAGGTGGCAGTGGTAACCTTTGACTTGTTTATTTCTTGTGGTTTAATAGAAAGGATCTACTCCCCTAGGAAAGGGAGAGGAAGAACTGCCACCAGAAGTGAATATTTATCCCATTCTTTACATGGAGTTTTTTATTTCTCACTGGATGTGTGTGGGGATTCAGACTTGCTATCCTGCAGTCAGCAGGAGAGAGAGATCTATTTGTAAGACAGAGGATTATTCAAGGAAAAGAAGAATGTTTGATCATTGCTAGCTAGCTGCTCTTCTAGTCTGATTAAAGCATATATATTCATTGCCTTAGCACTTAATGAGGAGCCAGGAGATGGCACCAAAAGTGCTATAGGATGTGCTCTGTAAGAATATTTACCTGTGTGTGTTGTAGCTGTAAAGAGGTATTAAAAGGGTTAGACATTGATGGCACACAAGAAAGGAAGAGAACAGTCTGTTTATTTCACTTTCAAATATACATGCTCTTAATTTGGAGTGCAGCTCTTGACTTAGTTCTTACATTATTTATTGTTATTAGACACCAATGCCTTCTCAGCATATTTACTTTGTTAAATTACACCTCTGAAATTAAATGCAACCTCTTGTCAGCTTTAATGTTCTTCTGCCTATTCTTATAATTATTATTGATAAGAAGTGACTTTCAAGTTAACAGCCAGTGGATTGATAAGGCAGCTGTTATTATGTTACCCGAGTGTTTTTTGGAAAGCTTAGCTCAAGGGCATACTGTGATTCCTCCAGTGTGGAATGCTGAATCTCCAGCCCTCAGACTGCTGGCAAAAGTGGTGTTTGTGGCTGTGCTGTGCCTGGGTGATGCTGGAAAAGCTTTCCCCAAACTGCAGAGCTGCGTGTGCCTGAAATCAGTGAGCGTGGCGGCTCTTGGGGGTGCACAGTGGGGTGCCCCCAGGGCTCATTTTTGAGCTGTCAGAGGGTTTCTGCTCCTTTCTCTTCTGCTCCTCCCTCCTGCTCTCTGAGGCCCTTCTCTTCATCCTCAGGTAGTAGATCCGGTTGGCTTCTGGGTGTGTGACTTTGCAGAGGGGCATTTTGTAGATGGCCGGGTTTTCTGAGGTTATCAGCAGGAAGAGGAGCGCGGAGAGGCAGAAGGGCCAGGTGCACACCGGCAGCCCGAGCTGGACAGGACAGAACAGACACAGGCGTGCACTTTGGTACCGCTTTTTGGTCTCCCCACTTATGCCTGCCTCTGGCTAAATTCTTCCATTTGGGAAGCTGGGAGGGCCTCAGTTTTCCCTGAGGAGAGAGTGGCTGCCAAGTGTGGATTCAGCTGCCCACACAGAGGTCTGTTTTTCACCTGGAGTGTCATTCTGACACTGCAGACCTCCGTCCTGTCAGAGGCATTTATCATGTATACACCACCAATACTGGTGCTGAAGGGAGCTTGGCACTAGAATTGAAGCAGCTGAGTCAAGCTCCATAGCTCTGGTGGCTGCAGTGAAAACCGAGACACCCAGCTCACATGTAGACAGTTGAATTCTCTACTAAAAAAAGCCAAATTCTACCCTCTGCTGGGTAAAATATCATGTATGGGGAGTATTGGTCATTCATGTTCACTCTCCCCAATGACTATATGACACTGGCATCACATCCAACCCTCAGCCCTCTCTGTTCCCCCATCTCTGGACCCAAACTGAGGCCTTCCAAAAGTAAGATCACAGGGATAAAAAGTGGATGTCCTTTTTCCTGATGCCTCCCAAAAGCAGGTGTGTGTAAAGCAGCACATATGTCAGGACCTACATAGTACTGAGAGGATGCCAGATGAAAACATTCAGTGTATGAAACTGCTAGTTCTCATCTATTTTCTTTTAAGTTAGTAAATCAATTTAATTAAAATATGGCTTTGCTTTAATCTCTCAGATCTTAAAGAAGAAACAGAGCCTGGCATTTCTGTCTTCACTCCTTTCTTGATTTGTCCAAATGTAATAACTTTGTACTTAAGAGAACAGTCTCCCACTCAATTTAGTTCTCATACCCAGTTCAAACTTCAATAATACCTGTGGGCAGGGAAGGAGTTAGACCTTGAAAGAAGAAAATGAAAATTTAGATCATTTGGAATTGCTGAAAGATAATGTTCAACTAAGTATTTAATCTCAAACCATATGCTGTTGCTATAACTCACATATACATGCACAACCCCATTGTGGATAACATGCTCCAAAGGTCTTTGAAATCTTATTATCAGATATAAAGTCTTCAGGAGCACAATTCAGCTGACACAGGGTCTGTGCAAGACCTGCCAGCTGGCTGCAGCATTCTCATTTCAGTGTTCTCAAAGCTGACATGGAGAATTTTGAGGCATTTCCTTAACATTATATCTGAACAAATCAAGATGCAGTTAAAAACAAACAAACAAACAAAAAAAAAACTCAGATAAAACAAAAAACACCACACTTACCACAGAGAGGGCATTAGCAAGAGCTGCTCCGGAGTAGGCACAAAATAATGCTGAGAAGACCAAAGAAAGCCCAGGATGAGGAAAATATTGTTCAATTCTCCAAAGAAAATATAAAAAATAGCACCATTGTCCAAATGCATGTCCAAATATCCTCCCAGCTACCTACTGTGAGGATCACTGCTAGAATTCAACAAATTGTTGAAATGTTCCAAGAGAAAATGGCCTCAAATTGCACCAGGGGAGATTTAGGTTGAATACTATGGAAAATTTTCTTCACAGAAAGGGTTGTCCAGCCCTGGCAGGACCTGCCCAGGGCAGTGGTGGCATTCCCATCCCTGGAGGGATCAGCAGCTGTGTGGATGTGGCACCTGGGGGCAGGGGTCAGGGGTGGCCTTTGCAGGGCTGGGGGCATGGTTGGGCGCGATGATCTTGGACGTATTTCCCAACACAAATGATTTTGTGACTCCATTTTGTCCTGTCTGCTCTGTGAAGATGGATGGTGAATGAAGAACATGGTTTTGTCAAGGAGAAGCGATGGTGGCATTTCTTTTATCTTTAACTTCTTTCTATTTAATTTCTTTTTATTCTCACCCACATGCAGTGGGAATTGCAGAAGCTCTCCAGCAGTGCTGGACTTCAGAATTTCTCTGCCCTGTGGCTTCACACCACAGCCAGTTACCAAGGAGTCTCCTTGCCCCAGGATGCCAGGGATGGCACAACAGGAAGCAAGGTCAGGCACCCAAGGGCTGAATCAAAGAAGGAAAAGCTACTGAGAAATCCAGAAACTGTGCTCAGAACACTGAGATAAAGATAATTGGAACCTGGGCATATCTTCACAGGAATGTCTTAAATGGGAAATTTCTTTTCTTAAACTTCCCATAGTGCCTGGTCTTGGCTGCTGTTGGATGTGAGGTCTTTGGGTAGGTGGATTTTAAAGTGACCTGGTGCAACAGCTCCCTTCTTATGGCACATTTCCCCCAGTGATACATATAATTATGAAAAGGCTTCTTCTGTGGAGGTGTTGAGTTGCTAACTTGTTAAACATGCTCATGGCTCAACTTGTGCTCATTTCCCAAACAGAACTTCCACCCCTTGGAGTTGTGTCCACCTGGTCAGGGTCTAGCGCTATTCTCGCTGTACTCACACTGTACAGCCCAGTGCTGATGCCACCAGAGAAACAGCTCTTGCACGGTACCTGGTTTTGGGACAGACAGAGTGATGGCTGGCTCTAAACCTCTGCTCCTCAATAAGCTGCGTACCTGCAGAAATTTTTGCCTCCCCTTTCTGTGAAAGATACTCACCACAGGCAAGTGACAGCAAATGTGTCTGCCAGGTCAGGGCGTAGAACATTCCCCCGATGGCGATGCAGGCCAGGGCACAGTTGTAGTTGTGTAAGCCAAGGTAGATGCTGTCAAATGGGGATGCAATGCTCAGGGCTGCGAGACAAAGGGCAAGGCTGTGAGGTCAGGTAGGAGAGGAGCCTGCAGGAGGAATCTGTCATCCCTTCCTCATAACATCAAGGTGGGTTTGTCCTTGCACATGCACGAGCAGAAAGAGGAGGATGTCAAAGGAGGCTCATTAGTTTCTAGCTCTGGTAATGTCCATGTGGTGGAATGTGGCCCAGTCTAAAAGGTTTAATTCAGATAAAACCTCCTGTGTTTTCACTGAATGGGTTGTATCCACAGACACAGGTGGAGGATTCAGCCTGAGTATGGGTGAACCTTCTCACCTGGGTGTCTTCCTTGCAGAAAGCTGTGCCCTTACACTGTTTAAACCTCACACATACCCTAATTTTGAATATCAGAGGCACAACTGTGTGTCTTTTGTGGGAGCAAGCAGAGTTTTCCATTTTTTCCTAGTGACCTTTGTGAGATATGGTCTAGTTACTAGAGGCAGTCAACTTCCCCTGAGCAGTGGAAATTCTCCACTGGGATGGGAGCTGGGGGTGTCTGTCCCAAATCTGACCTCTCAGAAACTTCTTCAGGATTTCTCACAGGCTTCAGGAGTACCAGTGAAAAGGAGAGCTCCATATGTAGCGCACAGGCCACTTTCCTGACACTTATAGTATTAATGCATTTCCTGCTATTTTGTCCTCATCTCTCCTCTGGTTCATCACCATGCTTGTCCCCATGAACTTTCCCCTGTCCTTTCCCTTCTAGACCGAGCATCAGGCCTGTACAAGACCTGCCAAATGCTCTTAGCCATGCAAATTGTGGGCAGTTTTATTTGAAAACATGAGTATAGGACAGCAACATCTTATTCAAAGTGCTTCAGAGCACAGAGAACTTGTTGGATCACTGACTTTCCCAAGGAATCAGACTACACTTATTCCATCATCCATATTTATTAAAAGTGGTCACTTAAGTGGCATTAATTTTGTCTAACCTCTCAGGTCTGCTTTGTGTCTCTAAATGTTGTTTCTCTCTGGTTAGTGGAGAGACAGGACATTTTTAGTTGCATTCATTTTGGTATTTTGACAAATCCACAGCAGGACTGAGCAAACTGCATCCCAGAAAAGTCTGTTTCTCTTCCTTGGCTGACTGGTTCTGAGGCAGGCCTTTGCTTGTGGTCATAATTTAAAGCAATTGTGGTGGCAAGAAATCAGTTTGGAAAGTATTTCTCTAGGTTTCCTAATGATCTCCATGGGATTTACCACATCCAGTGGCTAGAGGGTTAAGTAAGGTGGAAAAACCACCTGGCTGACAGCAAAAAATGCAAAGTTTAAAGAAAACCTGCTTCTCTTCTTGCCTGCGCCATGTTGTATGACCTTTACCAAGAGACAAAATTAGAAAAAATTAGAGACAGTTTGAAAAATGAGAGCGCTGTCCCAGCTACCACCAAAGCCATACAACTTTAAAGTCTGGACAGAATCTGGCTTGGATCAGGAGACCTTAGTTGCAAAAATGATTTGGTCAGTATTCCTTACCTGCAAACATCCCCACAGCTGATCCAATTGCAGCATGAAGACAAATCAGTGGGGAGGAGATGAGCAGAGCCACAAGGAAAATGCCACCAGTCCAGGGGTTCCCACAACCATACACTTGACCAATTCCAACTGGGATGGACTGTAAGAGCTGCAGAAATGGCAGAAATGGCAGAAAAGGGCTTGTTATTTACTGTGTGTCTGTGAGGGACACTGTGAGAAATGGAACTGCAGAGGGTTCTCAAAGCCTGACTGAAAGCTCACATAGTCTTATACATCTGTATGCAAACTCTGAGATAAGGTGTGCTGACTTAGCCAGGCCATGGAACAGAGAAGATGTTGTTGAGAGAGAGAGATTGAACTGGGAACGGGTTTCAAATGATGGCCTTGCAAACAGACCAGATATGTTGGAGAATCAGAATTGTGAAAGATGAATTGTAGCAATGCCAGGTGGGGTAAAATAATAGGTGATTGGTATTAGAAATATTAGCAGCATCCTGTGGCAAAATCTAATAGTCTGGAAAACAAATATAAGGTATTGTAACCAGGAAATAGGCTCACTTCTGATAGAATAGAATTTTTACATCTCTTCTGTTTCACTCTTCTATGAGACTGATAATGGAATAAAATCTTTTAAAAGCACCTCTCAGTTGCCCCATCTCTGTAGAGCTGGGATCTTCCAACAGGACATAGCAGATATTTTGTACAAGCTATTTGCTGAAAAGGGAAGGAAGAAACCTTGGCTCTGAGCTGGACTCTGAGAACCTCATAGAATTCCATAATGGTTTGAGTTGGAAGAGACCTTAGAGATCACCTTGTTCCACCCCCTGCCATGGTCAGGGACACCTTCCACTGTCCCAGGCTGCTCCAAGCCCTGTCCAGCCTGGCCTTGGACACTGCAGGGATCCAGGGGCAGCCCCAGCTGCTCTGGGCACCCTGTGCCAGGGCCTCACCACTTTCACAGAGAAGAGGTTTTTTCTCTAGTATCTAATCTAAACCTACTCTCTTTCAAATTGAAGACATTTCTCCTTGTGGGGAATGGCTTCAAGTGTCCCTCCAGGCTCTGCTAAGTAGTCTCCCTCCATCTTTCCTACACAATCTATCCTGATATTGGAAGGTCTTAGTTAGGTCACTCCAAAGCCTTCTCCTTTTCCAGGCTGAATAAATTCAGTTCTCCAAGCCTTTTCTTATAAAAGATGTGCTCCATCCCTCTCATCACCCTGGCTGGAGCCTGGGCCGGCTCCAGCAGCTCCACGTCCTTGTGCTGGTGTTGCCCAGGACTGGGGCAGCTCTGCAGGTGGGGTCTCACCTGAGCACAGGGGCACAGGGGCACAATCCCCCCTCCCCTGCTGCCCACACTGGGGGATCAGCCCAGGGCAGGGGGCTCAGGGCTGGGGCAGGTCCAGCTCTCCCCCCCCAGCACCCCCAGGTCCTTCTCCCAGGGCTGCTCCCTCTGCTCATCCCCAGCCTGGATTGATCCCAGGGGCTGCCCTGACCCAGCTGCAGCTCCAACACTTGGCCTTGTTAAAACTCAGAGGTTCCACATCTCCAGCCTGTCCAGGTCCCTCTGGATGTCATCCCATGCTCCAGGTGTGTCAGCTGCACCTCTCAGCTTGGTGCCATCTCCAGATTCCCTGAGGCTGCCCCTGATGCCTCTGTCTGTGTCATTAATGAAGATATTCAGTGACTCTGGTGCCCATATGGACCCCTGAGGGACACCACCTGTCCCTGATGCCCACTGGGACCCTGAGCCATTGACCATAATCTAACCAAATTCTACTTTGGGAAGGTGACCCTCCAGACCTAGAGCTAGATGTGAGGGGACTGGGTATAAATGAGTTTCTGTCACTTTGAAATCCCGATCTTTCCTCTAAATTTTCACATTGCCACTGACTATGTTGCTGATGGTATTTTTACCCATATCTGGACAGCAGGAGGCCATATCCAGATGTGCTCTGGATGTACAGTCAAGACTATTTTTGGGACAACCCAAGTTTGAGTGGAATGAAGCTCAGGTTCTCTGCTCCCTCAGGCTCCACCAGCCTGGATCAGCCAGGACTGTCCCTGGGGATTCTGTGGCACTGCTGTGCTTGCACTGAACCAGCCACTGTACTTCTGAGAGTTGCTCCTGAGTCGTTCTGACCCAGGTGAAAGTGTCACCCAGAGGTGAACCTCATGCTCACCTCTGCAGTGAAATACCACAAACTTGATGTTGTGAAGCTTACCAGAGGCACATTGATGTCAGACCAGGTGATATTGGGCACTGCAGCTACGGGCTTGATGAGGGTTGTGGGGAAGAAGGGGTTGTAGTGTCCTGTGGCTGCCAGGTACAGGGTGACTGCAATGTTGAAGGGCAGAGTGAAAACAGGAAGGTCCCATTTGCTGAAGATGGATCCCAAAGCACTGGACAGGACTGGGCTGAGAACGGGAGAACAAATACAATTATAACTTCACAATTAAATGCAGTTAAAATATCATGATATAGGGGGTGAGACAGCCTTCCTCTTTGGTCACAAAATGGTAATTTTAGCAAATAAGAGCAAATACAGTTCCTTGTAGCAATGCCAAGTGGTGAATACTTCAGTATCTTCATCTGCATCAAACAAAGAGTTGTCAAAAGCTGTTCATATTTCTGAAAAAATAATCCCACATCCATGTATGCACCTAATACAGCATTTGGGCATGGACAGAGACAGGCAATCTGACATACTATTCAGTTTAAAATTTGAACAAGAAGCAGAAAATGAAATTTTGGGAATGTCACATGAACTGTGGAGAACTTTAAATGGTCCAGAAAAGCTGCTGTCTTTCTTGAGGAGGCAGGAGGGAGTTGGAAATTACCCAATTTGCCTTTTTTTTTTTTTCTATATTTTTTTTGCCTATTTTTTTTGTTTGTTTTTGTTTTTTGTTTTGTTTTGTTCTTGTTTAAACATTTTGAAGGATATCAGGAGATGGCTCTGAAAGAGAAATAAAGCAGAAGAAGTGATCAGAGAGGGTGGAAAATCTTCAGTTAAGAGAGATGGAAATATTTGCTATGTTAGACACTTTTTGGGGACTGTGAGACCCAACAGATGGTAAAGAAAGAGCCACCACTGTAGCAGAGCTAGGAAAGGTGTTGATATCAGACTTCATTCAGACTTTGACTGATGTAATTTTGTTCTGCCCAGGTACCATACAAAATCATACAGTTTACTGAAAGCTGAGACTTGTTTTTAAATAGCTTGATTTTTGGCATGTAAAGTTTTTGGGTAGAGACTCAGCCGAGAGCAAAGCACAAAAGACGTGCAAACCTTCAAAACCCAAAGTTCTTGTCTGTAGAACCTGAGTTATAATCTTTGTTTGATCTGCTCTCCTCAGGATATTTCCAGACTGCCTGATTTCCACTTGAAGTATGTGTCCTCCATATTGGCAAGGTAATATCTGTTTTTTATGGGCCCCAGAAAGCTCAAGGAAGAGAAGAAATGGGCAGTCCTTGTTGCAAATGGCTCATGTTCTCCTTCCAGAAGTGTACTTCTGCTACAGATGAGCTGAAAAGCTCCTATAGTCCACTCCAAGTAGCAGTGAACATTACATAGTTTATAAAAAATCAATTTAAAGACTTTAATTTTTCAAGGAACTGCATTTGAGCCCTAGAAGGTCATTAAGCTATTTATAATAAAAAATGACCCCATCCAAATTATTTGACACTTCAAAAGCAACATCTTGTGTCCTGCTGTATAGATGCTATCAGTGGGAAAAATGCTTTGCTCTCCCTGTGTAATCTCAGATGAAGCCTATTCTTTTTTTGACAAGATTGGTTCCCAAAGGAGTTTACAGACTTTCTTGCTTGCAGCTGTTGGAAAAAAAAATAAAAAAAATCAGTACTTCAGTGAAAATGGTGTCCTAATTTCTGTGCTGAAATACAAAGCTTCTGTCACTTACACATCTTGTCAGGAAAAAAGGAAACAGTTAAATAAATGCTGACTTCTAAAGCTGAAAGTAAAAGTATCAGTTAAAAAAAAAATCACTGAAGTGTCTGATTTTAAAATATTTCAGCTCTACCCTCAAGACTTATGAACTAAACAATGAAGAAAATTTTGAACAAAAGACCTCAAGGAATTCTGGCAGATAAGACAAACTAAACGTTCTTGCAACATCTCCTGGATTTTGAGAGATTGTTATAAGATGACCTTTGTTGAGAATGACTTAAGAAATAAAATGTAAAACAAATCTAATCTTAAAAGCAGTGAAAATCCAATAATAGCTTGCATCTTACTGCTTACGGTGATTAAAATGTGACTATTAAATTAATTTCAGTTAAGGCTGTTAAACAGATTCTGCAGTGCTGTTCAGATCCATATTCAAAAATGGCAAAATTTAATCCTGGAAGGACATGGTCTGTCCATTGGAGCTACTTGGAGGAATTAATTTTTGCTCATGACTGGTTGCACATCTGACAAGGGAAATATGGAATTCAGCCCTGAGATGAGCGCAGGGTTGATTCGTGGATGAGGAAGAAGCGTTGTGGTGTTGGGTGCAGTGACCTCCAACCCGTGTGTGTCCTGCTGCTGAGGGCTGTTTTTGAGGTGGGACTGCTTTGCCTGTGTGGTATAATCAGTGTTTTTGTGCCCTTCACTCCTACCACGAGCTCTGTGTGATGAACACAACCCTCTGGTGCCATCCGGTCTGGAGTTACTGGTGTAGGGCAGAGGAGGCCTCAGTGTGCCTGAGCTGTTCGTAGCCAGACCCACCCTTTGGGAATTGTCCCTAGGAGGATCAGTGGCACTTACCAGGCCATGGATATCACTGCCACAGGGGGGAGAAGCCACCAGTAGTAATCCCCTTTGTCAGAGTAGACAGCCATGAGCAGGCCCACCAGGATCCCGTTGTAGCCGTGCAGCCCGGCTGCGATGGACGGCCTGTGATGGAAACAAGTGCGAGGTAGAAAGCTTGGCTGGAGGTGGGACCCATCTCTGAGACCCACTGAAATGTGGTTTGTGAGTGTCCTGCCCCCAGTGAAGGGATGAAAAGTGATATTACTGATGTACTGCCTTGCACTGGCATGTGGAAGGGGGAAGTTTGGGGGCTGAGGGATGATGGAGGGGGATCCTTGTGACTCAAAGGACCTACGTGGTTGTGAGATGAATGATGGATTTGTCTTTACAAACAAGCTGTGGGTCTGCTGGTAGATAAAACTAGCACAGAGAGATAAAAGAAACAATGGGAAGGACTCCACTCACTGATTGATGAATGGAAAAAAATGGTATTTGCCTTTACAAACTGTAGGTTTGCTGATAAATGAAACTGGATATTAAAAGATGAAAGAAACAATGGAAAAAAAACATAAATTCCATAAGAATTAAAAATTAAAAGGGAGGGTTATACATTAGAGAGGAATCTTAGGTATCAGGCATTCCAGGAAGTCTGTACCTCCCAAGTACCTCAGCCAAGGGAAAGAGAGAGGGACATACAGCCAGGAAATTAGGATAGAAAGGAGGCTGCGTCCTCCAAAAATTTGAGAGACCCCAGAGGAATGCCACATGGCCTCTCCCTTTATTCAAATAAAGTAAAAGGACTCCTCTGTCTCTTTTTTGGACATAAACCTCTGGTGTTGGTGGATTAATTTAATGTGAGTATGGCTATAAGGGAGAAAGAACTGTCTTCAGGAGGACAGACAGCCACAGGGACAGGCCAACCCTTTTTGGGCCATAGCTCTCTCTTCGCCTGAGCCTTCTGTCTCTATCAAGAGGCAATTACCCATCAGAGGGCTCCAAATAATATCACCACCATCAATTTTTATGAAGTGCATGAGGACACGAGGTGCCACTTACCTGTCCTGACTGAGGGCCAGCGCAGTTAACGTGGACACAGTGGTTCCAGTGCAGCCTGTGAGCATCCACCAGGGGCTCTGGATGAAAAGCCCCACTAAAATGATCAGTCCACTGAGAGGATTGTTGACAAACATCACCTGAGAGGTCCCTCGCAAGATCCAGTCCACCAGCTGAACCATTAAGGGTTTGTCTGGAGGAGATCAAGGCAAAACAGTGTTGAAAAGGCATCATTTCAGCAAAGCACAATCTCTGCAGCCTCTTTCTGGGCACAGAACAGAGGTGAAATATTATCAGTTCTGTAAAACAAGTCTCTGACTGATGGTTGTCTCTGCATATTTTGCATCTGTCACTTGAGAACGAATATAGATGGACTAGGCACTGCTAAAAAATTCATGGAGGGACAGACAAACAAGTAATTTATTTATGGTGGTCAGAGGATTACTTGCATGGTAGATCACCTTAGATTCTGCTATAAATTCAATAAGGAGACAGACTCCTTTTGGTGTATAATTGAAATGCAGAGGGGGACTCTGAAAATACTTTGTACGCATGTAGGGAAATATGAAAAGGAAGCAATTTTTCTACTGTAAGAAGAAAATCAGCAACCCTGAACATAGTGGTGTGGTGTACATAGGAGATGGGGTCAAAGGTTTCTAAAAAGTATTTTGAGAGCTAAAGAACTTAAATTAGAAAACAGTAATTATAGCTTGGACTCAGGGCAAAGAGGCATTTCTAGAGGACAAGAAGTTATTAGAGAGGGTTATTGAACCTGGGCAGAGTAAACAGACACCAAGCACAGATACCTCAAGTGACTGTAGGGAGAAGGTGGGATGAGGGCACTGCAATAACTTTTTGCTTCTGCTTTCTCCTCCTGCAAATTGACTTGAGTTTTTCTTCTGCCTCTCTTCTGGGAAAAGTGCAACCATTTCTGAACTGCTGTGTGCTATTAAAGGATGATGCAAGGAGAATGGATGGGAGAGGGAAACTGCTTTTTGTACAAGATGTTCAGATGTTCATGCAATGTGTATATTCAGCTTTTATTGTCTTCAAAATTTGAAATTAATAATCTTAATTTGATCATTCATTAGATGCACTGGAAGGTTCCAGAGTATTTACTGAATATGGGCAATGGCTTATTCCTAAGAACTCCTTCCAGGCAGGGTTAAGGAGGAGGAGCTAGAAGGAGGAGGAGGAGGAAGGGGCTCCTTAGAGGAAAATGAACAGGCTTGTCTGAAATAATTTTGATTAGTATTTGGTGTTGAGCTATGTATCAGCAATCCACTTAGTTACAGACACAAGCATTAGCTGTAAAAATTCAAATATAATCAGAGGACAGTGGCCAAAGCTTTCCAGAACACCAAGTAAGAAAAGCTGTCTACAAGGCATGGACCACTGGAGTGAAGAGAAAACAGGAGGAGATATTCCTGTGTCTGGGGATCACACTGGCCTGGCTGTAAATGGATGTCTCCTATTTCTCTCCCATTGCTGGAGGAGTACTGCTAACAACCCTAGCCTTGACAGAGTACCCACAGTTTTACACAGCTTCTCAAATCCTCATCCCCAGTAATTACAGGTAGCTTGGACTGTCTGCTCATGCATTGCTCCTGTCTGGACAGTGAACCTTTGAGATCAGTCTTGGCTTCTGTTTTTTGGCATTGTGACACTCTCTCAGTGCTTCTGGGCACTGCTATGTCAGACGTGATGCTAATGACATGTAACTGATTAAGTGTGAAAGACATCTTAGGACTGTGCTGAATTTTGCCTGCTGCCATAGTGATGGCCAGAGAATGCAGTGAGATTGTCTTCCTGAGAGTGAGATACTTAAAAGGCCAGAGTTTGCAGTGAGCTTGGACCCTGCTGCTTCTGCTCTGTTTCAGGGGGTGAAACACACTTCACTGGAGGTACTGCTGGCAATATGGATATCCCCAAACACACCCTCCTTCTTACTTTTTATCCACTCTCCATATTCTTTCATTTCTCCTGTGAGATAACCAAAACCATGGAGGATCCAGTTTCCACTTCTCCACAGCAGGTCCTGAGCTCTTGGCATCTCCTTCTTGTACAGCTCCCTGTCATTGGGATGTTTAGTCACAACGATCTCGCCGAGCTCCATCCTCTTTTGGGTAGTGGCAAAGGGCAACTGTAAATCACAGAGACAATGTGTTAGAAAAGACCCTTTTGGGCTGGTCTCTGACAACCTGCAGAACCCAGTGGTGATATCTTTTTTTAAAAATGGGATGTTTATGGAGAAGGGATCTGCTGGATCCACAGCTGGGAGGGGTGTGTGCTGCAGTGGTGTCTCCTCTCAGGGGTGGGGACCAGGCAGTGCCCTGCTGCTGTCGTGGGGCTGTGGCACACAGAGCTGCAGGGGAAAAGAGAGATGTGGCATGGGTGCCTTGCCCCGCCCTCACTCCAGCTCCTGATGCAGCCTATGACAAGCTGCTGGTTCGACATGACACATGGCATCTGCCAAAAAAACTGAGTGGCACCTGTGTGCTGATCATGCTTGGGTGAGTGTGGCTGCTGTGGCAGGTGCTGAGAAGGGAGCCTGCTGAAGTTTGTCCAGCAGTGAGCTGGAGACAAGCAACGCAAATTGCCAGGACGGCAGCAGAGAGTAGGGGACGAGAAAATACGAGAAGAGAGGCTGAAGTGTGTGTCCTTTCTGATGTTGTCAGTTGGTGCTTTTGTGTATCACCAGGAATCTATGATGCTCCTCATTCCATATCTGCCTTTGATAGGCCATCAAAAGCAACCTGGGGTAACATCAAAGCACTGCACAGAAATCAGCATCCGCATGTGGCTTTTGACAAGGACAAGAGCACCGGCTCAGGGCTGTCTGCTCCTCAGCAGGTGAATATTCAGGAGGAATAAGGGTTTATTGATCTCCCAATTACAGTTACGGGGCTTTACTCATTAAAAAGTCCATTACCATATAAACCTTAAAAAGAAAATACACAAAGACACTGCACTGCAGCCTGGTGAGTTACACTGCAGGTTGCACCCTCAAAATTGCATCCCTGCTGCCTGGAGGAGCCTGGCATCAGATGTGGGATTTGCTCTGGTGATCTTGATATAGTGTGGCTGGGTTTCTTTCTGGTATTGCCCCAAAGTGGACTGTGCTGTGAAGGGCTTGCCCCCTCTTTGGTGGAATATGGGCACCATCTTCCGGTGGGAGCCTGTTTATGGGTGGCTGGGAGAGGCTGTGTGTCGGAGCTGGAGCCTGCAGCAGCAGCCGGGAGGGATGCCTGGCTGCAGGAAAGGCTGCTTTGCAGAGAGGAATAGTGTCAGGAAGACGGCAGAAATACCAGTGGCTCTAAATGCCCTCAGAAGAAGGTCCTTGAGCAAGGAAAGCTGTTTTCCCTCTGTCCTGGCAGTGCGATGCTGAGTGCAGCCCTGCAGAGAGCTCTGGCTCTCTCTGCCGGCAGCTCTTCCCACGGCAGCCAGAGCCTTTGGGGTGACCTTCAGCACCAGCATCCGCACAGGCTGCGGTGTGAAAGCCTTCTAGCAAAGCCTAAGCATCACTGCCTTTGTCTGAGCCTAACAGGGGGGCATTATAGAAGGTATTACACGGTCTAAAACATATAAAAACCCCAAACAACCAAACGAACAAACAACCAAAAAAAAAGGAAGTGGTTGTGAAAGGAATCGACACCTGCAAATCTTGAATCAGGTAATTAGGGATTGGTTTGGCTGGGAAGGAACCTAACAGCTTATCTCATTCCACCCCCTGCCATGGGCAGAGAGACTTTTCACTATCACAGATCACCTTCCACTATCCCAGGGCTGTCCAGCCTGGCCTTGGACACTTCCAGGGATGGGGCAGCCACAGCTGCTCTAGGAAACCTGTACCACAGCCTCACAGACAAGACTTCCTTCCTTATATGTAAGCTAAATCTCCCCTGTTTTAGTTTAAAATCATTCCCCCTTGTCCTGTCCCTGCAGGCCTTGTCCCCAGTCCCTGGGCAGCTCTCCTGGAGCCCCTTTAGGCCCTGCCAGGGGCTCTCAGCTCTCCCTGGAGCCTGAATACTTGTGCAGGGGAGCAGCCCCAGCTCTCCCAGGCTGCCTCCAGAGCACAGGGGCTCCAGCCCTTGCCCAGGAGTGTTTCAGGGGGTTAACAGGGAGGTTTTGAGGTTCTGCAAAGTTGTGCTCAGTGTGGGAATAAATATAGAGCAAAAGAAGAAAAGGGGATGGTTTTATTATCCTTCTTTGTTTTCTGATCTGTAATCTCATTCTGGCCAGAAGCTGAGTCCAGTTCCTGGTTTAAGGCAGCCTTGGTGACTGTCATTTTTGGCTATTCCTTGTGGCTAGCCAGGAAGTCCTTGGCATATTGAACACTGAGCTGGACTTCCCCTTCTCCTCCCCTGTGTCCTCTAGGTTGAGGGAATTTGCAGTGGTTAGATACTGAGAATTTACATCCCTCTAAGATAGTAAGAAACCAGCTCCTACTGGAATACCAGATATTTGTGCCTGGTTATATCCCATGAGCACTGGGGCTTTGTAAGATGTATGATTTCCTCGGGTGTAGCTCTGGGCACCTTCAGGTGGAAGCCAAACCATCAGAGCCCACACCTGCCAGCAGAAAGCTCCTGCTGTTCCCACAGGCAGCTCAACCTGGGTGCTCTATAAGCACCCAGTATTTTTTGGGAGTGACATAGGGTCTGAAAGCAACAGCACAAGCAGAAAAGAGACTCCAGGGAAATGCCAGGCCAGCACCTGGCTATCACTGAGGTTGCATTCTTACAGAGGTTCACAGACATATTTAGAAATTGACCTGGTAACAGAGATAAATCTCTGGTGAACACTGGAACAGGCTGCCCAGGGCAGTGGTGGAATCAAAAACTGTCTGAATGTGGCACTTGGGGACATGGGTTAGTGGTGGCCTTGGCAGTGCTGGGTTATTGTTGGACTTGATGATCTTAGAGTGCTTTTCCAACTTAAACAATTCTATGCTTCTGTGATCCTATTCCATTTTGTCTGCTTTGTTTATTTGCTCATGTTCTCCCTGAAGTGTTTTCCAGAGGATTCCAAGGGCTGAGGTGGGCTCAGGAGCTGCACTGGATTCATGTAAGGGAGACTGGAACATGTCCTGTGGTCTTGAAGTTTTAGGGATACATCAATAAAGAAAGGTGAGTGGTCCCTTTGCTGTGAACAGTAACCACCATGAGCTGGGCAGTACAGCTCTTACCAACAGGGTCAATAAATGCCAAGGGGTTGTGTCTAAATCATCACAGCACTTGGAAAGCTTATGCTAATTTTAAACCACACCGGGAAAAATTGGGGGTTTTACAAAGCAGAAACATGACTTCAGAGCTCCTAAACCCTGTACTTACAAGGCTGCACAGCTCAATTCCCTCTGAAACTGAGATGTGGGACCTGTGTTTTTTCAAATTTCTTGTTTTGCTCACATCATTTAACTGTCAGGGGTTAAAGGCAATGTCATCATATTTCCCCTTCATAAGGGGAAATCATAAGACCCCTTTGCAGTCAATTCCCATCTGTAGAGAGAAAGTAATATCTCCAGAGAGTGATTGGTATCTCTTTTTCCTTACTTACCTAGCTGAGTAGTGAAAAAGGAAAAAAAAAAAAGGGTGTTCTGCTCTCTTTTTCCACTGTCTGCAGAGGGTGGCTGAGCTTTTAGAGGTCTGTTTGCAGGCAAGAAAAGTTCCAGCCTAAGAGACTTTGCCAAGGTCAACCTTGAAGTTTTTGGAAGTGGGACCTGTAGTCGCAGGCTAGCGGTTTTAAATCACTGAGCCATCTGCAACAGGCCTGTAACCCACATCAAGTCAGGCATTGAAGTTCTGGGGCTAAGAAAAAAAAACCCAAAAATAGCCCCTTTTTTATGATTCCTGTTTTCTTTCTTCTTATGGATTGGAAGGGAATGAAGTCTCATCTTGGATGGAGCACACTCACCCTCCTCAGACGGCAAAGCGACCTGGGACATGGCCAGAGGAGAGAGCTGAAAAATTACCAGATTTTGTGGGAAAGAAGTAGTGGGGAAAAAAATAAAAAGCACAAAAAAATCAAAGCAAAAAAAACCCACCCCAAAAACCAAACAGCTATCAGGGGGTGCTGAAAGCCTCTGCAGTGCTGCAGTGCTGAACCATGGGGCTTTATGTAAGAACAGCCCAAGGGGCTGCAACAGCTGGGTAAAATCCTGGAGGGATGTGGTGGGCACAGAGATTCCTGCAGGATCATTTCACCCTGGGAAAAAAAACACCATTTCTATGCAGAGAACACCTGTCAGTCTATCAATGGGCTGGTGCTCAGTGGTACAGGCTGCATGAATAACAGAGAAATCATTCGAACAATTATCTAATTAAGGCTAATGAGAGCCTGAATCACTTATGGCACACCTAGGGCTGATGAGGAATTCCTTGAGAAAGGGCCTTTTGTTAGCAAACACCAATTCATCAGCGTGGTAATGAGCAGTCCTGCTTGATAAGAACATTTTCCAGACTGCAGGGTAGTGCCAGGTGGTTGGGACTCACCTCCAGACCTACCTGTGCCTGCTCATCCCCCAGCAGACAGCTGCTGCAGCCTGCTTATGAGGCTCAGGGTGCTGACAACACAGAGAAGTGTGTTTTTAAGGCCTCCCAGACCGAGCTCTGGGTTTCTCTTTGGCTTGTGCTGCTAAAGAAAACATTCCCACCATCACAAAGCCTTCACTGATCTGGTGGCCTCATGCAAATTAAAAAAAAAAAAAAGAAAAAAAAAAGACCAATTTTTTTGTCAGAACAGTGAGATGGTGCATGGCTAGCGTGATGGGTGACGAGAACACTTGGGCCAAATGCTCTACAGGGCTGCTGTTTGTGTTGGGAGCTTGGCCATGTGTTAAGGTACCTGAAGCCAAGCCTGGATGAATTATCTTTCCCCTTCTGTGCTGAGAGCCCAGTCATCAGAAACGCATTGACTTCAAGGGACGTGGCCTCACAAGGGCCTTGAAGAGAAGCAGTTTGCAAAAGCACATTTCTCTCATAAGAAGCCATAAAGGAGTAGAGAAGAAATGCCATGTACAACTAGGGGGAAAAGCTTTGGGAAGGTGACAGAACACTAGGTTGAGTCGGCACGGTTTTACCAAGTGAGGTTCTACCAGGGATCAACCTGCTGTGTTGAAAGCAAATGAATAAAGCAGGGCATTTC